AATTCCCCAGCTGGCAGGTCTCCAAACATGGCCACTTTAAGACTTGTGGACTTTAACTCCCAGAATTCCCCAGCTGGCAGGTCTCCAAACATGGCTACTTTAAGACTGGTGGACTTCAACTCCCAGAATATATCAGCCAGCAAAGTCTTAAAGAGGCCAAAGTTGGAGACTTCCTGTTGCTGTGGCTGGCTGAGGAATTCTGGGAGTTGAAGTCCACAAGTCTTCACATGGCCATGTTTGGGGACCCCTGGCTTAGTCCATTTCAGTGGCAATTTGTGGGGAATTCTGTAGGATTTTATCACAGACACACAACTGCCAATCTGGGATCTGCCACATCCAGGACAGGTCAACCTCAGTGAAGGATGTGAATCCTGCTGTGAGGCTCAACATGGGCCTGAGTTCAAAAGGCTCCCCAGAGCCCCCAGGGCACCCCCCCCATACGCTGAACCCCACTTTCCGTCATCATGTAGTCCTGCAGTTGCTCCAAGCTGGTGTTGCTCTGGTCGCTCCCGCTGCAGGCGGTGGCCAGGCTGTGATGCGACTGGTGCAGCAGAGGAGAGGAAGAGCCGCTGTGGTAGGCCTCGAAGGTCTCGTGGGAGCCATCACTGCGAGAAGAAAGAGTAAAAGGAAGGAAGGAAGGAAGGAAAGAAAGAGAGAAAGAAAGAAAGAAAGAAAGAAAGAAAGAAAGAAAGAAAGAAAGAAAGAAAGAAAGAAAGAAAGAAAGAAAGAAAGAAGGAAGGAAGGTGAGAGAGAGAGAAAGAAAGAAGGAAAAAAAGGAAGGAAAGAAAGAGAGAAAGAAAAAAGGAAAGGAAGGAAGGAAGGAAGGAAGGAAAGAGAGAGAGAAAAGTAAAGGAATTAAAGAAGGAAAAAAGAGAGAGATAGGAAGGAAGGAAGGAAGGACGGAAGGAAAGACAACTGTGAGAGTCATCTTCTGGGTGAGATGGATGATAATATAATATTATAATAATTATAATATAATATAATATAATATAATATAATATAATATAATATAATA